AGAGAGAGAGAGAGAGAGACAGAGGATCCTAAGCAAAGTCCATGTTCAGCATGGAGCCCAACACAGGGCTCGATCCCACGAACCATGAGGTCATGACCTAAGCCTAAATCAAGAGTTGGATGCTCAACCGACTGAGCCACCCAGGGCCCCCGTGCGAGGTAATATTTTAACGTGCCAGGGATACATCAGTGAATTAAACAAATGTCCCTGCTACACAGTGTTGGCAGAATCAGACGTGGCGTTAGTCATGAGAGGCTAATTGAGCAGCCGAGGCCCCACCAGTTCCCCGGTTCCCTGTATGGCCTTGATCAAACCACATCCCCTTTCCAGGTCTGTCTCCCACTCCTGGTCCAGTCCCTAATCTCTCAGGTCTCCCCACCCTGGCCCTCTTGCTGTCCAGCTCTTCTGCCTTTGGGAATGCAAGTCAGATGCCCGGACTGGCCACAGTCTCCCCGATCACTGATAGAGAAGGCCATTTCCCCACAACGGCCCAGGGGCCCTCCTCACCCTGGCCCAGCCCGCACGCCCCACCGCCAGCCGCTCCCCCCTCCACACCCCGTTCCACCTCCCTGGACTCCTTGCTGTTCCTCCACCAGGCTGGTATGCTCCAGCCTTGCACCGTCTGTTCCTGCCGCCTGGAACCCTCTCCCTAACTTGGAGTCTCTCCTCCACCCCCACTCCTCCACAAGGCCTGCCCACGGCCTCCTTTAGGTTGTCACTTGACCAGCAGCACATTCCTCGCCTGCTTTATTTTCCCTCGCACCCTCGTAACCACCTGACATTACATTCTGTGCATCTTGGGGCATCCTCTTGCCGCAGCTCCCTAGCCAGGGAGAGCGGACCTTGTCTTCCCCATCCTGGAGGCCCAGTGCCTGATGCGCACTAAACATTGGTCGAAAGCATGAGGAGGCCGGGAGCCCTGGGGCTTGTCCGGCCCCGCGTGCAGCTCACTGAGTGACCTCAGATGGCACCCCGAGCTGGGCCTCCCTGGGCCCACCTGGCAAACAGACCAGCTGAGGCCCTGTGCGAGGGGACATCACAGAGCTCCCCGTCTGACTGCCCGTCTCACTCACCCCCACAGTTACTCAACAACGAGCAACTAGGCACACCGTCAGAGCTTGGGGTGTCATGAGCCCTCGCAGCTTCTTGGAGCCGACTTTCCGGGAGGCTCCAGGGCAAACAAGGGGACAGGTGGACAGCACGTGCCTCATTCACAGAAATTTATTTGCATGTGTGTTGGCTTGCCATCTGGGAGCTGCAGAGGAACCAAACTCTGACGGCAGGGGTCTGCTCTTTGCGTGGCGCTGCCCCATCCTGGCATGTGGCAGCCTGGTGACATGTGTCCCTGGAGTGAACCAAATAGGCACACAAGACGTCTCCAGTGACCAGTGCCATGAAGCAAAACAGGGTAGTTTGGTAGAAACCAATGGGGTTTTCTTTAAATTCAGGGGTCAAGGGGCACCTGGCTGGTTCAGTCGGTGGAGTGTGTGATTCTCGATCTCGGTTGTGAGTTTGAGCCCCCACGTTGGGAATAGAGATTACTTAAAGACAAAAATCTCAACACACACACACACACACACACACACACACACACACACAAGAAATAAATTGAGGGAGTCAAGGGCGCCTGGGTGGCGCAGTCGGTTAAGCATCCGACTTCAGCCAGGTCAC